GTGCAGATGTCTTAACCACTCGACCACTGAGCTTGCCGGGGTCGGCTGGCCGGTCCGAGTCAAATGAAGCAGCGGGTACCGCGAACTATTTTCAAGATGTATATCGCCAATGTTAGTTATTTGGTAATATTGACATATCGAAAATATCGGATTTTCAAGAATTATCAAAAATATCGAAACTTTGCAAGCATCGTTATTGAAAAACATACCGAAAATATGGCTACTAGGGAACAAATTTTATTAAAAGTATGAAAGTGCATCGTTACATTACCGTAATTTTCGATAAGCCATGGCTAACGTTGGTTCTCACGCTTATGTCATTTACCTTTTACACACAAAAGTGTGCATGTGACATATTCACTTCTGTACTCTGTAGCGTCACAATGGACCTAGCCTAAATACAACCGCACAGAACGTTGGCATTACTGGGCACAGTGCACGTACATGCAGCTAACTTGTGTGTAGTCAACTTCAACTCTTTTAGGAAGGATTAGCATAGGGGTTACAGCAATTGATATATTGACACCAACCCCTTTAAAGCACACGTGCGTGTGTGTGTACATGTACATGTGCAGTACATATACTCTACGTTTACTGTATCGTGTGTTTCCTTGCTCAAGTTTTTGACAGCTAGTCAGGTACACGTAGCTTGGTACACGTAGAGGTATTAAAACTTACAGGGTAACATACAGTTACTATGTTCTACTCTCTTTTTTTTTTCTTCTTACATAAGCTAATGGTGCATGTAACTTTTCGGAAGTCGGGTAAAACTTTTTCAATTGCATGCACTTGTGGTGCACGTAGAATATTTGTTCTAATTCAAAGCCTGGTTGCAGTTGGTATTTTCTACTGACATCAATCTGCAAACTCCACCCTTATTTGCATGATCATAAATATGCACTGCCACTCTAAAGAAAAACATAATTCGTTGATAGTATCTAAAATAGCAATGCTTGATTGGGCATTTCAGATTTTATATGTACAAAATTCAAAAAAGATAGTGCAGAACCACTAATTATGACATTTGTTGCACTATCTGGGACATTGAGTGAAGATCACTTTTTGTAGTTGTGACTAGAAAGGTGTCCTGTAGGATATAGAGTCCAATACTGCTCTCATGCTTATCAGTAGTTGGTGTGAAAGCTGTCAATTAAGGTGAAAAATAAAATGACTAAATACCGCTATATCGATATCGGCCAAGATACAATATTGACAGTGCTTACATCAGGGCAGTGAAAACAGCACCCTTACTGATGATTTGCAGTTCCCTTTTACCACACTGAAATTCTTTCCTTTCAAGAAAATCAGCAACTGCAGTCACGCTATCCTTCATCACACATTAAAATTGTGTCCACATGAAGGGGCTTCTAAATTAACAAGGCAGATTGCACAAGGTAAGGAGATATTTCCTAAATGTCGGAAAATTCTCAAAAAGTATTATTTTACGTAACCACAAGATTGTTCGAAAATAACTTTTGTAGTTTTGGCACATTTTAGAGAAAAGTAAAAAAAAAATTATCAAACCTTTTTAGCAGGTGAGTAAAATTGAGATTTTGCAATCAAATTTCTCTGGCAACGCAGTAGATGTGAAAAATCAAAGTGCACCATGTTTAAGGAACTGTGCCATGTTAGAATACATCAACAATACTTTACCATGTTTGTTATAAAAGGCAGGTCTAAAGCTTTACATTTGGCTGATTCAAACAAAATATCCTTTTACTCATGTTTTTATTAATTTTTGTAGAAGAAAGAAGGTAAATCAAGTTCTCTGATTTCTCTAACAATGCAAAAATATTCTAGGTGTCAAATTTTCCAATACTTTTGGCTTGTGCAGAATCCATTCTGGCAGAATCGGTGGATTATAATACTGTTACTTTCCATAGTTTTGGGAAAGTTTTGGGAAAGCCAAACATGTAGTTGCACAAACAACTGAGTTGAACTAAGTTGAAATAATAGATGAACAACAAATAAATGTTGCCCAGACAAAGAGATTTACTTTCAGTCTCTCTTGTTCTTTTCTTGTATTCAAAACATTTACGTAATCAATGCAGACTTATTGTGGATAGATTTGCTTTAGTACCTTACCACCTCAGTTTAACACTGAGCCATCCAGAGTGAGGGAGCATGAACAAAATAAACTATGCAGGTCTCAAATTAATTTTAAGTCCTAATACTACAATCAAAGAAAATACCAAATCATTATTTTACCACTTAGGGTGGAACTTACAGCGCGTTCCCACTTGAATTGGGAAAAGGTGAATCTTGATCCAGCATTTTGGTGTGATCGTTATCTTACTGCAACGAAACCACAAGTCGCGTTCCCACTAGCGCTTGATCCACCTTTTCAGATGGAAATGTCCAGCCCGAAAGGTCACCGAGTTCGGTATTGCGCATGTGCTAGCTTGCTAGCGTGCGCTCTGTGGCAGTGTGGCCTGCTGGGGCGGCATGCCTGTAACCATGCGGTGTTTTGGGTGCAGAATTCTACTGATGTGACGACCTTGAATCAGACCGAATGTTCAGCCTAGTACGTTGTCTCTTCAAACTTTGCATCCGTTTTTGATACTCTGTCACACGCTGCGGGCTATACGCTAACACGGAATTAGTTTTTGAAGGAAAGCAAGTGAAATTACACAAATGAAAAGGGTTAAGAAACGGATGAATGCGCAACGAAAATTGTGAAAGGGCAAGGCACATCGCGGCATGCATGCATTGCTCATGCGTGGTGACACATTTTGCTAGCCCGTAGTTCGGCAGTTGTTTATTGTGCATGCTGTGCACGTTACAAATTTCACACGAGCTACATGCCAAAAAACGTATTTCTTTGTTCATCAGCCCGAAAAGTTTCGCGCCACTCGTGCACGGACGGATGTTGGCAGGTCATATTGCCGGATCAGATCCACCACTTGCGTTCCCATCTGATCATGAT